TACATCAACTACACATTGTAAGAACCTTGTATTTGCTTGTATATTTAATTCATGCAGCAAAATGGAAATAATATTTTGCGACGAAAAAATGTTGAGATAGAGGTTATATGGCTCTTTCCTTTATATCCTATTTCAGTATGGTACTAAGCAAATTGAGTGCGATTTAGTTATGAACTGTTGGATACCAGTCAAAAAGTCAATACAAGTTATCCTTGGGATTTTATTTCTAAATGATACATGTGTATCACTTCTTTCTTATCCTTTGGATGTCTCTCTCATATCAGTTTTGTAAGAATGGTTGGGTAGGAGAGGGTGTTTTTTATTTTTATGAGCGGCTATACCTTGTTTCTCTCTCACTGCATGATTTACCATTCAAAGTTTTATTTCAATACTTTCATTTAAAAAAATCGCATTGAAGCTGACATTCTACTTGAGTCTTTTCATTTAGTAGTTTTTGATACAAGTTCTCTAATGGATTATTTTACAAATTAGTTGAAAGTCCAAAGCCCCTTGAAATCAGTTATTTATTTGATTGTTCTCAGTTGCAATTAGATTCTTAAATTACAATAATTGCGGCCTAACAAGCTTTATTTATAGGTTTTGAGCCATTTTGGAATTGAATGTGAAGTACTTGAGACCTTGTGCATTAAAGATCAGACACTTATGAATGAAAGTATGTTCTCCACTATTAAGTGCTTTAGAAAGTAGAAAGTAAAGGGAAACATACTTTCATATTTTTTTCCTACAGTCTTGGACTGGTTATATAGGAAAAGGAATTACAATGGTAATAATGGTAAATAAAAATAAAGAGAATGAACTAAAGTTAAAGGACATAAAATAAAATAAGAGAGGATCAAATCTGATTTCTCCAAATTCTTCTACATAGGATTTTCCACACAACTCTTGATCCTATATCATGCTTGCTACATTGCAGATGCGAAGAAGATCATTGGTTGGGCTCTAAGCCACCACCACATGCAGAATTTGGAAGCTAATCCAGATTCAAAGCTTATATTGTCGTGTGAGAAGTAATTACTAGCCTGCACTATGCTTGTCGACTTGTTTATAATAATATATGTCCTTAATTGAAGTTTAACAATGGTAATGCCATTATGTTATTCCCCAGCATCCATTATGGATACGGGATGTTGTAGTCTCTCCAAAATGAGTCAAAAGGCATGAAGAAGTCTCATAAGGTGATTGTTATGCTCTTTTGCTGCGTAGATGTTCACTCATGCTTTATTCCTTATAAGTTATTCTGTTGGAAGAGTTTGACCAACTTCTTTCATCGGTTATTAGTAAAACTGATGTAAAAACTTTCAAAAAGGGACTTTTTACATCGGTTGGAAGTAATACCCGATGTAAAAAGTCGCGTCACTGGGGACTTTTTACATCGGGTATTACTTCCAACCGATGTAAAAAACTGGATCAATTTTTTTAAAAAAATGTGCATAATAATTGTTTTTTACATCGGTTCATATATTATAACCGATGTAAAAAAGGTACTTTTTACATCGGGTATTACTTCCAACCAATGTAAAAAACTGGATCAATTTTTTAAAAAATGTGCATAATAACAGGTTATTACATCGGTTCTGATATTATAACCGATGTAAAAAAGGGACTTTTTACATCGGTCCCAGAACCGATGTAAAAAGTCCCTGATTTACTATATCACCTGACTTTACATCGGATCCAAAACCGATGTAAAAAGTCAATTTTACCCGATGTAAAAAGTCATTTATGCACTAGTGTACTACTTATCTTAATTAATAAAATAATTATAAATAATTATTCTTAAATCCAAATAATTTCAACTAAATTATTTAAATAAAATAATCACTAACTAATATTAATAATTAGTTACTCACAACATCCCTCATCTCTACACTATTGCTCACACACCTCCAACACCTTAATTTCTATATTTCTAAGGTAACTATTTCATACCAAGGGTATTATAAAACCTCAAAACACCTTTTAACACATATAAATTGATAACAACATATAATTAAATCATAAAAATAATTAAATAAATTGGGGTGTTACATCAGGAGTGAAGCAATGCCAGTCTCGGTAAGCAGAAACACATTAGATTTAGAGTGCTAAGACATTCCAAAGGGGGATATTTGAAGCATGAAGTATAATTCCTTGAATTGTGGCCGTACTCTAGATATTAGAAACGTTGCGTTTAGGAAATCAATCGAGGTAGTCATTTTAGTAACAGTTTTGGAAACAACGAGGCATGGCAATGAGACAACCCTAGCAACTTTGAGTGGGAAACTGAATTTGCAAAAGGTATGAGGAGTATCATGAGGCTGTGCAGGTATGAGACTGCATGGTTAAAGGAAAATGCATGAGTATTTGTATTGGTTTGTAGGGTTAGTTAGTGGTCCCAAAGGCAATATGGGGTGATATGAACGTCATTAGACGACTACATGGACGAAGTGTATCTGTGAAAGGATTATTGAATCGGTTGAGTTTCATGAATTAACAAATGTGTTGTCACACTAAGAGTATAAATTTGTATGCATAGGAAGGAATTATGGAAAAGTTGGCAGTGTTATCGTAGCAGTTGTATGATATGGAAGTCGGTAGGATAACCCCGGACCCACGACGAATCTGTTTTGTTGTATGCACCTTCTAGAACCGAGTGAACTCTTAAGATAAGGAAACTCACTGAGATTTAGTAATCTCACCCCATTCCAATTATTATTTTTCAGGAACATCTTATAAGTATAGGAATTGCTAAATGGTCGGTTTTGAAGACTGCGGGCGAGCAGATGGCAAGAAGACCTCACCAGATCTTATTTTTCTGCTGTGCATTACTGAAGACAAGCTGCTTATATATATTCTAATATTCGAGTTATATTGTAATACAATTTTAATTTCTTGTCTTTTTCAACTTTTGTGTGTTACTATGTACCATTTTTAGCATCACTGCATATTATTCTAGACATATATGTACGATTTGTTACATACATCATAATTTTGAATTAATCTTTTGAGATAAATTGTATTGTAGAAAATAGTTTAAAAATTCAAATATTGTATATGAACAATAATATGAACAACAATATGTTTAAAAGTAATAAGTCTTTGAAGTTCTATATTTTAGAATTACAAGTTGAATGTAGATGTGTTATTTAAAGGTCTAATGGTTAATTTATTGTTTGTCTTAGTAAATGATCTAATGTTATTTGTAGGTTATTTTCGCGTTGAAAATGTGTTTGAAGAACTATAGTTTAGTAGAAACGATTGTTTATTTTTGGTTTCAGTTTTACATGTAAATTAGCTACAAATAATTTTTAAGTTTCTTTTGCCTCATGTTCTACTAGGTTTTTGTTAGCACCAAAAATATTAATAATATATAATTATTTATTAGTCATTTAAATATTTAATCTATTTTTGTTATTATATAAGTTTAGATGTTTGTAATTATATTTTGTATTCATTTTATCTTAATAATAGCTTAATTTATATAATTTTTGTTATTATAGTATATATTTTTCTATAATTTATATTTATTTTATCTTAGTAATTATATAACTATTTAAATTAGAGTAATTATTATTAAAAAAATTCTTTTTTATAGTTTATGATTATTTAGATACAATTAAATTAATTTTATTATCAAAATATTTAAAATATATTTGTGTCATTCCTAAAAATAATATAAATTTTATTTTTGATAACTAAGTTATAACTTATTATGTTTAATTTTTAAATAGATTGAAATTCATCAATTTTTACTTATCAAATAAATTTTGTAATAAATTGTATTTGTATCTTATAAGTAAAAAATATATAAAAGATAAAGCATCAAATATTTTATTGAGTAATCTAAATTTCATACAATACAATGATGTATATAAAATTATATCATCTACCTTTCTTTAAATTAAAGATATGATAAAATAAATATAAATTTATAAAACAAATCAAAACAAAAATACTTTTTAATGAATTATTTATTATTTATTAGGGTGAAAATAGAAGTAATATCAAATTAAATTTAACATTATATTAGTAAAATGACAATATACTCTAAGGAAATAGTAAGTGTGAAATTTATTAATTAATAATTTTGTATAAATATAATGTTCGAAAAACAATAATACTGTATTGTAAAAAAATTTAAAAAAAAAAAATCAAAGGTTGGTGTGATGGGAAGAAAATCTTCTAAATTTTTTGCATTAATACAATGAGTGAGTTAAAGAATATAAAAAGGGGTAGTTTAAAGGTTGGTGTGGTAAGCAAAACATATTTTAAAAAATATGAAAATAAATATTGATAAAAAGTGTAACTAAATTTACTTGTTAATTGAAATTTATCATTAATATAGTGAGTAAATAAATCTCAAATATAAAATAAAATTCTAAATTTTATGATTTCTTATAAATAAAGGTCCAGAGAATATGTCTATGTAAGTAAATATAATATAAATATGTGTAACTCAATTTCACATATTATTTATTAAAAAGTTTTTTTTTTAATTTATTGTCTTTCACGTTAAAATATTAATAGTCGTAAACATAATCTAAAGGTCTACAAAATAATTTTATATACAAGTAAAAAATTAAATATTAATTATTATAAAAATGTACATTTTTATTTATAATATATCCATGCAAAACATTCAACGATATAGTTATAACTGATGATATAATATTCGATGTATTAGATTTAATAGATATAAATAGATTCTTGATTTTATGATTTATGGTTTATGCACCTAGATGATGTTCTCATAGAATCTTTCTCAAGATGCCTAATGCTAAAGATGTCAAATAATATCTTTTAGATTCTTTTTCGAGTCTATATAATCATTTGTGATAAGTAGATACCACGCTATTTTTAGAAGTATATACATAAAAGAAGATATAAATAGCCATGAATATAATTACTTTCTCAATATCAAACATTGAAAAATCAAGATCTTTTCCTAGTATCAATATATCAACTAAAAGTAAAGATTAGTTGATTAGATCAAATATTGGTCATTTGGAAAGAGAATGAGAAGAAGGAGCAGATCCATATCTATGCAAAAGCTCTCTTGCCAATACTTGAAGACCACCATCATTATTGCTACTTGTAGTTGATGTGCCGCTACCCAAATATTGACGAGGCTCATTAGTCCTTTGATGCATGGCCCATGAAGAAGTTTGTGCCATAGGATCAAAGAGTGAAGATAAGTCATATGTGGGTGGAATGGATGAAGAAGAGACCATTGGAAGTGCTTGTGGTGGTGGTTGAGGGACTTGATATGTGGCTAGGTGGGCTTGTAAGTAGGCGAGTTCTGCTTGTAAACTCATCACCTGTGGATCAAACAAGATTATAGGTCATTTATAGCAACATGAAAAATGGAAAAGTATGAACTATTATATTCATAATTAAAAATGATATAAAAAGAAAAAAAAAGCTAAGTATTTCTTATAATCGTTTTGCCGAAACAAGCTAAAGTTGTCCTAAGAACTATTATATTCATAACTAAAAATGATATAAAAAGGCAAAAGAAAGTCCACAATTTCAGGAAGATATATTGGTGTTATTACTATAGTGATTAAATTAAGGTTGTTCTATATAGGGACAGTAAAAACGTACATAAACTACACCTATAAAAAAATCCATAACCCAAGAAACTAACCGACCATTTCCCTAAAACCAGCAAAAACTAAGACCAAAGATGTCACTCAAAACTGGTTGAACCAATCCATAGAATTCAGTAAAAATGCATAGAAACTCTCCCCTTTGTTCCATGGCTCTTTACATCACCTATACTACCTTATTTTCCTCTTTCCCCACAAGACTCAACCCCAACTTTTGTTCCTCTTTTCTAAGACATAAAAAACACTATTATTTTTCTTTTTTATAAAAGATCAGATACGGTAGAGATTAAACTCTCAAGTATGAACTATTAATTGCTTATAATTACCTGTTGCTGAAGAGTAAAGATATGAGCAACACAACCATAAACAGGATCTCTCAACCTTGCTTGAGCTTCATAACAAACTGTGCTGACAGCATCAAGACGCTTGTGCACCGGAACATTCTGTAAAACCTTGGAAACATTACTAGCACCAAAAACCTTGTGAACTGCCGCGAAATGTGAAGCGCCTTGCTCCGAATCAAAGTAAGGCGCAAAGATACACCCCGGGACACACTTCCTCCTCAAAAACTTGCACGCGCCACAAGGACCACAAACACTACCACTTCCACCACTTCCACCACCACTACAACCACCACCGCTACCGCTACAACTAGAGTTTATACTCATCTTTAAAAATTGTACCAACTAGCACTATTTTTTCTTCTTATGATTAATTAGCTAGTGTAAAACTAGGGCAAAGTAGGGTTTATTAGATTCATACATAGCAATGAAAAATGAAAGAGAGGAAGAGAAAGAGAGAAGAAGAAAGAGAAGGAGAAGAATAAGAGAGTGATTGTGTATGAATATAAGGGTTGGGTTTGGTGGGTTAATATATATTTTAATGAAGGATTTAAAAAAGGTTAGAAGAAAAGTTTAAAGCCACGAGATAAAGCAAAGGGTTAACCTTAATAGTTAGGTGTTTGCGTGAAGCAAACATGAAAACATGAAATAAATCTTCTCAAATCTCAAAACATTCAATGGATGTAAGGGAAAGAAAGAAGGGTTTGATTTGGAGCTAAAGAGAGGTGATGTAAAGCTTGAAAGAGGTTTTTGTTTGTGGTAGAGTAATAAGAAAAAGGAGGGGTGTGTGAAAACGTGTGGAAGGGTGTATGTATATTTGTCACTGCGTGTTTTAAGCTGCGTGGAGGATAAAAGACGTTAACTATAGTTTCTTTCAATTCAATCACAGAAAGAGTTGAAAATGACGCGGTTTTGTTGTTTTTTAGTTTCTACTTCTTTACTACAAACTGCCAAAATGCTTTGCAAATGAATTATTATGGAGATGGTGGTAGAAAATTGACGTGAACCCCCACGTTTTTTTTTTTGTTGTTTAAGTGAAATTTTTTGTATAATTTATGAGTTGTAAGATAAATCTAACGGTTAAAATGACAAAACGGGGAAATGGCAATTTGAGGAGAGAGATATAAAGAATAAATTGTTTTTTAATTAAATAATTAATTTTTATAGCAAGTAAATGTTAGAAAAATTAATTTACATCAAATAGATTGATGTTAGATCGTGAACGAAATCACTTCTTTTAGAAGTATTTCACGCACTCTCAAATATGTTTTAGTGTTGAAACAAGGGAATACCAAGGATATTCAATTTATTATCGAGTTTGCGCAAGATCGACGAAAACTCCAATATAACAAAGAGTGTCTGAAATTTTTAGTGAAGAATATATGATTTTTTTAATGTATTTTTTTGAATCCAGAATGCTTAGTTTATACGTCAAGTTGGTGTTGTTTCATAAGATTGCGACCCTTGATGAAACATACACTTTCAGCAACACTTTTACTAGATATTGCACTGTTTCACCTACAACAACAATTTTATTAATTATTGCACTGTCTCGTCTACAACAACAACTTTTTACCAACTGGTGTACTATTTCGTCTACAACTATACATCACAAAGAGTTATGTTTTTCTGAATTCAAAAAACAACTTCACTAGCATATTTTTCTTGTCATTTTGAAACACACCCATGATTATGAATTATTGTTAATAATTTACAATAATAAATATAACATGAATTAACAAAAGTCATAAATATTGGATTATGGATGTGTTGACTAGGATTTTTACAAAGGGGTCAAAATCTAATCAAAAATAAAAAGGGTTCTTTGAAGATTTTGGATTATAGGAAGTCAACCATAAAAGTTGTCGATCGAAAGAGGTTCCATAAAAGGCCAATTTGGGCTTGTAGTTGCAGTCGACCAGAAGAGAGGCCTCATGAGGAATGGATTGGACCCAAGAGTATTAAAAATCCCAAAAGAGAGAATAACTAGCAAAGCAAAGCTTCGTGAATAGAGAATGTCGGTTTGATACCAAGAATGGAGAACGTGGGTTCATGAAGGGAAGTTACAATAGAGAACATCGGTTCGATAGCTAGAATGGAGAACGTGGATTCATGAAGAGAAGTTATAAGGGACACGTGGCTCATAAGGAAACGAAGTCCGCCAATAGTAGTTATTTTCATATATTATAAATAAAGCACTTAGTGCATAGTGTGAAGGGTTCAAACTTTCACATTCCTATACGCTAGTCACTCAGAGTATCCAAGAGAACGAGTGAAATGAGTCAAGCACGTGCAATGTATATTTGAATCCACCCATTTTCAATTGTTTTGATGTTATGTCATCTATTTTTACAATTTAACACATCTTTGTTTTATTTTACGATTCCTGCTTTATTGCTTTTAGGTCCGCTTCACCTTAGTCGAACGAACCCTTTTGAATACAATTTGTGAAAACACTCGAAAACTAAAGCACTGTACTGAGATTCCCTGGTGGATCTCGCCAGTAAATCTCCTGTTAAGAGACCAGCGTTGTTAACCCAAACCACAGGTAAACGAATTGGCACACCTGGCGGGACAGTGCTAATAATTTCGTATTTTTGTGTGTAGCTTTACAAAGTGTATTACAGTTAGTGTGTGTATGAATTTGAGGAGTGGTAAACTTTTGTCTAAGTCTAAAATGCCACGCTCTGACACAAACACGACACACACGCAGATTTCTGCACAAAATATGGATGTCATACCAGTAAATACCACAACTCAAAGCGCGACAGTTTTATCTCCCGTAAGATCGACTGATGTTCATGGTTCAGGGACAATAGTCACAATGACAGAACCTAGGCATGGGATTTTGCCATTTGACCCAAATCGACCACTCTTCCCAGGGGGTCCAGGGTCATCATTTGTCCCTTACCAGTATAGTTTTCCTTATTCCATGATGGTTGGGTTATAGTCAAACCCGACCACATATATAGAATACATAATGGCTACTGGAAATCAAGGCAGTTATATCCCAAGTAGTCTACCGGGTGATGTTAGTTACGTCTCGCAGTCGACACCATCTTTGATTACTACTTTCGTTATGTCTTTAAGGAAATAGATGAGTGAAAGTAATTTAGAGTTAGCGAACATTTTAACTCAACAAATGGGATTTTCACTCAATCCTGTATTTGATCAAATAGGTAGATTGATTGACTCATTAGGGGTCCAACCGACTCAGATGCGCCATAGGCCGTTAAGAGTTTTTGAAGAACTAGAGGGGGGAAATAATGAGCATCCTTTTAGACCTCGAAGAGTGGAAGCGCCCACTTATGAAGAGGAAGAATTAGTTGAACAATACAAGCCTAGGCCAGTCATAGTTAGGAGAAACCAAGATGTTGATCAAGTGCTAATAAATTCCACCGTTGGGCATAACAACATAGTAAATATGGTAGAAGAAGTATTGTCTCTATTTGGAGTAAATGTTGGCTTCCGGAGGCCCAATTACTCTTCACCCTTGCTTGATTACATTCAACAGGCAGAATTACCTAGGGGATGTAAGGTACCTAAATTTACCAAGTTTGCTGGTGATGCTAATGAGTCGACCATAGAACACATTGCTAGGTACGAAATAGAAGTTGGCGATATCACCAACGATGAGGGTCTAAAATTAAGATATTTCCCTAATTCATTGACAAAAAATGCTTTTACTTGGTTTACGACGTTGACTCCAAACTCCATACGCACTTGGGAACAACTTGAGGGTATATTTCATGAGCAATTTTATGCTAGTAAGCCTAAGATAAGTTTGGAAGAGTTATCCTCATTAAATAGGAGGTCATCTGAGTCAAAGGGAGATTATATAAATAGGTTTAGGATCCTAATGTCTAGATACTTTACTAGAGTTCCTGAACATGAGCTGGTCGAAATGGCCGTTGAGGGGTTAGATTATTCTATTAGGAAAAAGTTTGATCCTCAATCTCTTACAGATATGTCCCAACTATATGACTAAGTTTGATATGTTGAACATTTAAAAACAGAGAAAATTAGAGTGTCGAAGGACCATCGAAAAGGCCAAATTGCCTATGTAGACACAAAAGCTTATTCCATAGATTTTGAAGATGAATACGTGGAAGAAAGAGAGGTTAATATGGATAAATTGAAATTTGGACCTCTGTATGCATGTAAACCTATAAGACCATCAAAAGGAAAGACGGTCAAAGAACCAAAAAATGATGCGTCTAGTACTAAAACATATACTTCTGATGTGTCAAAATGTGATGAAAGATTTGATATTTTAGTTTTAGATGGTCAGATTATAGTGCCTTTTGGCCGTAAAAATCCACCATTAGAGCATAAACAAAAAAGAGCTTTTTGCAAGTATCATAATTTTTTGGGTCATAACACTTCTCAATGTTTTCTTTTCAGGGATTTGATTCAGAAAGCTCTTAAAGATGGTTGATTGAAATTTGGTGAGAAACCAAAAATCTCCATGAAGGTCAACTCAGACCCTTTGCATATGGCTGATGCGCACTTTGTCAAACCACTGGAAGTACTGATGATCGAGGCTAATGATGGTCTTGAAGGCGAAGAGGCAGGAATTATCAATTTACTTGCAGCATTGACAATCAAGACCATTGGTGGTCTTAAGAATTAACAAGATATGGTCACTGATCCAATGATAGTTGCAACAGTCGAGACTACTGAGAGTCTCAAAAGTGGCAATGGAACTTTCTTTAAGCCACAAGAAGTGATGGTGGTCGATTTTGTCGAAGAGCCTGAAGTTAACCAAGACGACAAGGAGAAAATGGACTGTGAATTTAAAAATGAAGAATTGTCTAAAGAAACAGTTGCTGAGTTAATGAAGGTTGTTTTTCCCAAACCTGAAGAGGAGTTGGTGGATTTTCTAAACAGATGCAAGCTGGGTAATTCCAGGTCTATGTTATGCCAAAATTACAACATAGTCTATGATGAAAATGATGCAAAGAAAATCGAGGCATTGAAGAAGAAACTCCCTCAAGAGAAGAATCCAAAGGTGGTGTTCGACCATGCGAAAGGGGCATACAATGTCTAATTGCCTTATGGAAAGCCTGGTTTTCCGTATCAAAGGACTTTTGTACCACCAATTGATGTTCCTAACAACAATTGGGTTCGTCCTTTCTATCCAAGGGGGGTAAACCAGAATTAAAAGGTGGTAAAAAAGGATTCAGGTTCGAGCCATTAACTGGAAATGATGGAGAAGGGATCTAGTTCTTCCCAATTTGTTAAAGCTGGGATCACTTCAAAGAAGTATCATGTTCCTCCTACATATAAAGGGAAAAATCCTATGACAAAGACTCAGTGGAGAAGGT